GCTATGGATTTGGCTGCCTAAAACTGGATGGGGATCTTATACTATCTAGAGCCCAGACACTATCTTTCTGCATAAATTCATGTGATTTACAACAGTGTGCAGTGAAAGCCAATAACATAACCAGGAGGACAGGTGTGGAAGAAAGCAAAGATACTTGCCAGTATGCTAGAAATTAAAAAATGCATTGCTTAGAAACTACGCCTGATGTCAGAGTGTAGGAAGGCGATCACCTCCAGGGTGGGAAGTGCCCTGCAGTGCATTTGGACAGCATGTTTGGCACTGAGGATGCTAAAACAGGTTGGCATTAGTTGGTACTACTAACTGTAACTTAGTAAATGAGAAGACTAACATAGAATTCTTCATGCTTTTTCATTCAGAAGAACACAAACTGTTGTTTTGAGGGTTGTAGACCTACACTTTTTTTTTTGCCAACAGTTAGAAAAAGTTCTCTAAGGAACAAATAACCCTTTCTTCCCTGGTGGACACTGTGTCTCCCTTTTATAATGATAACCAGGTGAGCTTGAAGAGTCAGGGAGTGTAATCTGTTAAGGAGTGTGTGTCACTCCTTGATCCCCACCTAGATCGAGTTCTAGACCTCCTGAGGATGGGAGTCTGTCTCAGCTCTGATCATTGATTCTTAACTCAGTCGCTTATGCTGTAACTAGCCACGTTTTTACCAGAGGGGGTTCTGGTCTGTTCTCTAGCATCTTGTTCAAGATTGTGACCACTATAATGATACTTAAGGAACATTAATTGCTCATTTGTTACTGACTAGTGTCTAAAAACATCCCTGCATCACAAATGAGAAATTCATTCACAGGGTATTTAGAAGGCAGACATGAGAGCTGGAAACTGTGAAGTAAGTTAGTGCAACGTCAGGATAGTACTGCACTAACCAGCTTGCAATTTGTGGCTCTGTCACAAGGAGAAAAAAATTGTAAGAAGGAGAAGCCACATCTGTCAGCTTGCAAATACCTTGTAAACATGAACTCAGGTGAAAGATACTGTTTTCAGACATAGATGTGTGAAGATACATGCATCTTTGAGCCATTAAATCATAGAGATATTAATGTCAGAATGATTGATTATCAGTGAGATCCAGGTATTGCTGTCATAAAAGTCATCCTGGATCAGTCTCAGGTGACTGCAAAGTAGTTTATTCCTAGAGCAGGGAATGGAACTGGAGCCCTCTGACTATGTCTCTTCTGGATTCTGAAGTTTGAGAGTCCTTGTGCAAACTTTGGATAATAAATATCTTTTGGGGAAAAAAGGGTCATTGATAAGCTTCCAATTTTAGTGGTCTCATTTCCTTTAGTTTCCTCAGTTGCTAGTTTTCAAGGCAGCCTTTGCAAGGAAACTGGCTAATGGTGCACTGCTTTCTCAGCTAAGAAGTCTTTTCTTTTCTAGGCCACCCATGTTAGAAGAGGCCCCTGGACTCTGAAGTCTGGTTCTAGAATGGGGAGCTGGGAAAGATAGCAGTTTGTTCCCCTCAGGTTCAAAGCCCATTCATATGCGTGCGTATTTGTGTAGTTGCTGCAATGTACTCAAGACATCCCTGTGGACTTAACAAACTAGTTATAGTTGCAACTGTTGTACCTAGAAATAGCTCATGCACAGCTTGGAACACAGCTTATTTCCCCAAAGATGCGTGTGCAGGACAGTGGATAGGGACAGTGCAAGCCAAGGATAGCTCAGCTAACACTAACCCTTCCTGAATATTGCCATGGGATTTTTAAATGCTTCTCAACTCCCAGAGAGGTGCTGAGAGATTTGACCTCGGTTTAGCATCTCATCCAAAAAGCAGTAAGTAGTTCTGACAGTGCAGGTCTCCCTTAAGAGCTGTGTGGAAAAGTCAGACTTGGATATGAGCCCAGCCTTAGTGTTGCACTGAAACTCAAGATTTTTAGGGCCTAGAATGATTTCAGATGAGCCATACTCTGACAGATAGGGACTGCAGGAATTTGAATTATTGACAAGGAAATTATTCCTAGAATTACTGGTGAGTAAAATGGAAGGAGGAACAATTGCATTTATTTGCCACTGCCAAGATACACGAGACCTGTTCAGGGAACAAAGGAAGGCATAATTTCTGAATCTGGTCACTCTGACACTTCCCAGGAGCTGTAAACTGGAAGGAGAATAATAAGAGGCTTGCTCTATGAATAGCTCATATATCAGAGTGTGGGACAATGTGATCAGCTTTAGGTAGTTTGACATTATTATTCATCACATCTGCCTGAAGGCCTCAATCAACGCTGCAGCCTTGTGGTGCTGTGCCAGCAAGTGCAAACACAGCCCCTGCCCTCCAGCTATCGCTGCCTGGGATTATGGTGGGATGACAAGGGGGGGACTCACAGAGAGGTGTGAGGCAGTGAGATATCAGTGTAACGAGCACATTTACATACCATCAGCAGTCACAGCCAGCGTCCTCCCCAGGCTCTGCCAGGCAGCAGCGCTTTGTAGGATTCGTGGCAGAGGTAAAGCTTAAAAGAGGATTTGATGGAAGACAAGATGGTACCTTGTGGAGAGATTTTTACCATGATTTAGAGGGCAGGCTGTGAGAAGGCATAAAAGTGTCTGCAGGAGAAGTGACAGAATCTGTTATCTTTAGTGAGGGAAGAAAATTTTCTGCTGTGACAGGGTATTAGATTTAAGAGCCGAGGAGAGACCAAGCAGCGGAGAGGCTTAGAGGTAAAGGCTTGAGCTTTTCTCCCAATCCCACAGAAATATTTATAGTATCAAAACACGTGCTATCAAGATGAAAAATTGAAATCTCAGAAACAGTGCTTTGATGCTTTTTAGCTGGTGGTGATCTCAGAAAAAAATTCCATTGTGTTTGACTTCATTATAAAAAAAACCTATAAATTCTCTCATCTTACCTCATGAACGGTCTCCTGGGGCAGCACGGGAGTCAGGACGTTCCAGCTTTCCCCCAGTTGTCACTTTTCACGCTCAGCCCAAAGTGCCACACGGCCACCACCGATGCGCAACTTTGGGCACACGAGTGAACTCGCCACTGAGGGCGGTTGTGCAGGTGCCATATTGTCCCAGTTCTGGTCTGTACTTCCAGTTTTGGAGCGCCCTTGGGCTCGCATCTATACCACTCATGCTTTGTTCATGAGGGAAATAAGAGAAGGAAAGATTTTATCGGGGTTGTAATGTTCTGATGGGGTTGTGCCCCAATACGCTTAACAAAAGAGCTGCTCCCATGCCGCAATTCCAAGAACAGAGCATGAAATGTATTTATACCCTGTTTAGGTTTAAAAAGAAAATAATTTTGAAACAGAAAGCCAGAAATTATCAATTTGAAAATTGTCAAAATAATTTTTTTCAAAACATTTTTCAAATAAGGAATATCCTAAAATGGACTCTCTACCTCCTCTGTGGAAAATCTCCTCAGTGGTAAACTGTTATTTTCCAGTTCAGAAAATACTAGTTTCAGTGAAGCTTAACACAGTACTGAGTGGGGAGAAGTGAATAAAGAGGAACTGTGGTTAAATCACTGAAAAGGAAGTTGTTCCTTGCAGGACAAGTAGATTTAGAACAAAGCTAAAAAAGGGAGGTCACAATAGCTTGTATGAGATGCTTAAAACAAGGAAATTGACAGCTGAGAATGGTAGAAATAGAGTTTTTAAACTGTATTTAATGGAGTCAGAAGCCCATTGCATGGGTCTAGAAGAATGAATCAGTGATAACACCCAAGCTACCAGAGCTGGCTGCTTGGTGTTAGTGTTGTGATAGAGAAAGGACAGGATTTGGGAGAACAGGGTAAGATTTACTGGGAATGATCAAGTCCACAGGTTAAGAAAAGGCATATATGTGTGTGTGTGTGTGTGTGTGTGTGTGTGAATATCAATGTTGTTTATCAGGAAGAGAGGCCAAGGTATGAGATTAGATGGCTGAGAATGATCATGAATAAAGTTCTGTATTTGTAATTTATGTATAGTCAGATACTTAATCAGACCAAATCCTGTGTGCTTATCTCTGCAAGAACAACGCTAAATCTTGTTTGCCCAAAAGAACAGCCTCTAAAAATTGTTTTCTCCTTCTTTCTGTTTTTGTGATGTATGAAGATGGCAGTACTATAATTAATCCCCTCCTGACTCTGCTTATGGATACTGCAACTTCATATAGCAGCATGGTTACACACTGAACAACCTGAGATTTTAGAATCTTAAAATGTTGAATTAATGGGAGCAAACTGTTCCCCTGGGGCTGTACAGGAGAGACAATTTATAGAGCATGCTGATAAGAAAAATGTTAGCCAGCAATTTAGTCATAGTTCTGAGAAGAAGCTTCTGCATGAATAAAAAAAAAAAGGTTGTGTGCCTGACCTTCCTGGACACTGAGTGCCCCCAACTCTCACCATAAAAGCATTTAAGATTGAGTCCCTATTGAACTGGCTAAAGCAAATACAGAGCACGGTCACTTTGAAGTTCTGTGCATGTTCCTCAGTGCTGTGTCTGCCCTCAGCTGTGCTCATTCTCTCTGGAACAAGAACTGCTAGTGTCTCATTTGTGATGGGAAATGTGTTTTGTGGGGTAGATGCAACCCCTGAACTTAGCTTTGCTTTGCTTTGACAAAAGCACTTTTATAATCTCTGTTCCATTATTGTATTGCGTTCAGCACAAGCGCTGTTGGTGTTGTTCTGGAGTATAGCTCATGGGCCACTGAAGCAGAGGGGAACAGAGATGCAGGATGGAAAAGGGGGGTGAAGTTTACTCTGGGTTCGGCCTCAAGTCCCACTGGGAGTTTAAGGGTCTGCACTCCTGCAGCTGTTCCTGCAGCCCCAAGACTGGGATGACAGAAACACCCAGGAAAGCAGGCGTGAGTGGTTATGACCCCTGTAACTCAGAACCATTCGAATGGCAGACTGGGCTGAACAATTCCTAGCCTTCACAAAGTCTCACCTGTGACGTGTCCTGCAGTTCCTGAGTGGGACCCCATGGCTCTTCCTGGTTTCACGTGAAGGAGGTGTAATTTGTCATGGTTATTTTCAGGCACTAGGGAAGCAAGTTGCTTCAATCAGGCACCAGATGAGCAGACTTTGGGAGAACCATTCAGCAGACTTCCAGGGAGATGAATCAAGTGGCCCAGCTTTAAAAACCTTACCTGGAGCAGGTAAGTGGCTGCTGGAACTCACATGTCAAGGCAGAATTTTCTTTCCCTGGACTTGGGAGACACAGTGTTCCTCTTTAAATCTGTGCTGTGTGCTGCAGTGCTCTGCATTGTTGCCATGGCAGAAATCTCCCCATAGTAATAACCTCTTTCAGAGAAGGTTAAAAAGAGACAGTGCACATGCTCAGAAATGCTGCACTTGTTCTGTTAGCAGTTTGCAGCGGCCATTTCAAAGAGACCATCACAAAGACAAGAGGGAGATCAGGTACCGATATTTTTTTCCTTTGTTAGTGGGGGTGAATTTTTTCTTTCACAGAAGTCCATGCACAGATCTTTCTCCATTGCCAGTTGCACTGCAGAGAGAGACCACCCTTGAAGCCTGTCATGATTGTTCGTTGCATATAGCAAATTCCCACAGAATAACTAAGAGGCAGTAGTTAGATCTGCTAAGGTGATTGCTGCACTCGGGGAGCAATTTTTGTGCAGCAGAGCTGACATACTAAGCTGAGCTGATGCTGGGGTGCGTGGTGTGCAAGGTACCCTGAAAAAGTTTAACAGTGTGTCATCTGCTTTGTTTTGTTGAACCTTTGTAGCACTATGAGTCAACTACGACAATAGCCTCTGCTCCTACTGAGCAGGAGGCTTCTGCATTAGGTACTTTCAAAGGAGGCTGGTATTATCCTAATTTACTGTTACTTGGAGACACTCTGCTTCATCCTGTTGCAAAGCCTGGTGTCTTCGATTGTACTTGCTTTGCTTGCAGATCACCATTAATTAAAACAAAAAAACCATGACACTTACTATGATTTTAATCCCTTTATTTTAGGCTTTGTAGAAATAAGAAGAAGGATCACATCAGATCACTTCTAAATAGTGGGAGGGATAGAAAACCCAGTTCTGAGGTTATAGGAATTATATTACCAGATCTTTTTTTTTGTTGTGGGCCCAAATATATATGTGATTCTACATGTACATGTGTGTCTCTGGCTTCCAAACCATTCTCTACTCTTATGTTTAGGTTGAGCTGCACAGGAAAGGGAGATGTATAATGCTGCTCTCTTCCTGAATGAATAGCTGGTTTACACGTGCTGGAAGTGTTCATACAGAATTTGCAGTTTTGGATTAGCTGTGTCTGAAACAGTGGATTGCATATATGAAAAAGCAAGCTTGTTCCATTCTGTGTTTGTAGCAAGACAGGGAAAAAACTTTCCTTTCCTGCCTCCCCGTATTGCCTTTCCAAATATGAAATACAAGCTGTTTTGGGGAGTGCTGTACTCTTGCGTACAGTACATGCATATTTGATGTTCTTATGCAATATCTTTTGCTTAATATGCACCAACTTAAAAATCACAAAGAGACAGAATATTGTCCTACTTTCGTGGGTTTAGCTAAATAGATTTTTCAAGTGGATTTTAGTGTGTTGCTGCAATTTAACCTTATTTGATTATTTCTTTCTTCCATTTGAACATACAGGAACAAAAGGTAAACTTGGCTGAACTAAGGACCACCCTAAAAGTTTGACAGGATCCCTGAGGCTTGGATTGAAATCTCTAATAGACAGTTGCAGCTTGAGCCAGTCCAAGTTTCCTGTATTCCCTCTTGATCTGAACAGTTTATATGTTGGATCAAGAAAATACTTAATTTGAAACCTCTGTGTACTTATAAGAAAAATTACCTCTGTGTGAAGGGGAATTGTTGCTGAACCAGGCTGTACCTATCTTCAGGGCATGATGTGGCCTGACTGTGATATTCAGGGAAAAATGGATGGCTGCAAAGAAAGGTCTGAAGCTCAGATTAGTAGGGGAAGCAGAAAGTCAGAGTTTTGATGCATTTACCTATGAATTTGTGGAGGTTTAACAAAAGTATTTTCCTTCAGCTACTTTCATAAATGAGTAAGTTTTTATGATCAGTGTGGTGTGTAGTTAATGACAATGGTTACCTTTAGTTATTATATTTGTGAAAAGATGGTGCTTCAGTAAAGGAAGCCAGAGGCTGAAAACCTCATTTCTAGGTTCAGGTCTATTTCAGCTAGCTCTGTAATCCCTGCAGTTTTGATCTCAAAGTCTAATAGTGAACCAGCTGTCCAGACTCAAGTGCTAGTCCGGGACTGTGTAGTTAGAAAAAAAATTGGAGTAACAGAGCAGGCAAAGTTGCTGGCATTCTGGCTTGTAAATGAGACCAAAAACTGTCTAGGCATTTCTGATATTCTCCTTCATGTTTAGGGACATTATCTTCCAGCTGGGTTTTATGTGGACTGTTGGAAAAGTACAGAGAACTTTTGTCCATGCTCTAGATCTTCTGGTTTTTATTTTTCTTTTCCTTACTCAAAGGAAGGCTGCCAATGCTTTAGCCATCAGGAACATTAAGTTCTTTGTAACAAACCCTTTGGACCTGTAATGTTCCTCACTAACTTTTTTATGTCTCTTGATAAACAGAGAAGCGCCCGTTCCCAAGATGCTGGCACCCTGCCTTCTGAGAAGAGCGGTCCTTACAGTTCCTTTAGTTTTTGTGGTTGCACTGCTTCTTGCAGAGCCTGTTAGATCTGACCAAGAAGCAGGAACAGCCATACCAGCTGAAAGTACGTACCATCCAACAGTCCCCTCATACAGCTTGTACTGTAATGTTGCAAGATTTCACATCACTGAAGCTTGTCCAAGTAATTCAAACTATTTTGGACATATCCTGCTTATGTTGTTTTAAAACCACAACTTCATAGCATACCAGTGCTGTTTTTCTCCTTCATCCCAGGCTGTTCACTCTCTTACCCTTGTCTCCTGCCTGTTGCTGTCTTGCTTGCATCTGAAATCTGCAACTGTTCTGCACCTTTTCTTTTGTACAGCCCTTTCATTCTGCTAGCCCTTTCTATGCCAGGAATCACTGTTTGCTTTTCAGAGACATTATTGAGACTTGCTTTTTTCAACTGACGTTTACTGTTCATTACATCTTTTATTTTTGGTAATGTCTACTGTATTAAAGTCAGTAGTTTTTATTAAAAAGTTCACAGTGAAGATGCCAAGAAGGCACATTTTGTTAACACCTAGCCTTGCAGCCTTCAACCACCTAATTCTCCTTTGCTGATACATGTTAATTTTATGTCATAAACATAATGACAGGTCCTTGCATCAAGTTGTTGATGTGGAAAAGGCTCTCCCGTCCTTCTGTCTGATGCAAATATAACAACACTAAGGTTGGGTGGTGGTACAACAATGAGAGAGGACGTCTTTAATACTGCTCAATGTTTATTTTTTATCTCTCTTTTTTTTTTTTCTTAACCAATTAAAGAATTTGGCAGGCTCCTTCTCTCCAGCAGGCAGGATTCCTGTCTGCTGGTTAGCACACAGATCATGAGCTAGAAGCTCATACTCAGGCTTATCAGAGGCATGCAGTAATCAGTGAAATATCAAGTGTTTGCAAAATAGGCTGACAGAGACTGCAGGATTTTCCAACATCACTCTAGGTTTCATGCTTTCTTACTTACCAGACCTCAAAGAGCAAACTAAACTTGTGCTCAGAATTTCTCAGTTGCGCAATATTTCCTATGAAGTAGTCAGAGAGGCACAGGCACTGAGAAGCAAATAAGAGCATATGTAGAGCCTGATGATTCAAAGACATTTCATCATTCTATATTTGTTCTGTCTCAGTACTGCTATCTGTTAGGGCACAGCTTTGTGTTAAATGATGATCAAGGCAAAGCAAGCCTTGTGACCTTAAGTCTGGAGATCTAGATATGGGATTACTATCTTAAACGCTGCAATTAGTCCAGAATGCAGCAGTTCTGCTTATCAGCAATGCCCATTAATGACAGGACATTGCGTTTATCTGCTGCTTGCTTCACTAGCTTTGGACAAAGCTGTATCATAATCAAAGTTAGAGGCTAAGTGATCCATCTTTGTGATATTGTAGTAAATTTTATTCCATTAGCTTTCTATTTAGAGCTTAAATTTGTGAGATTAGGAAACAAGATTTTTCCAGGGAACAGTTTCATGGCTTCAGAAGTAATTTCTGAAAAATCTGAAAAGTCTGAAGCTAGGTTTGAAAATGTACTTAGGGTCAGTGGAGCAAGATGAAAGACTCAAGTTATAGGTTTAGTGTTTCCACACTATGAACTGTGACAAGAGAAAGATGAGGGGAACAGCAATAAAGGAGGAAGAAAATTTTTAATGCAAATTTCTTGAAGTAATTCTTTTGTCATCGAGAGACTGGGTGGACAATCATGATGGACCATTTACAATAATCTACGTTGTTCAAGAGTACATACATCAGTATTCACTCTGTGGACCCTTTTCTGTAGCTCTTCCTCATACTCAAAATCACTCTTCATTCCTTCTATTTAATACTTCATTCCATATAATCATGATTCCCTACTAAATGCTCTTCTAAATGCTCTCCTAGGTCGTCCCTGTGTTGATTGCCATGCATTTGAGTTCATGCAGAGAGCTCTGCAGGATCTAAAGAAGACAGCATATAATCTAGACACACGGGTGAGGAAGCATTCAGTTTTGGTTTTTTTTTTTTTTTTTAAATATGGAAGAAAATGATGGGGATAAAAGTAGATAAGGTGGGTGGATTTTGCACAAGACACTGTTGACTGTACTGTCCTGTCTTCTAAGGCGAGGCTGGGTAATTACATTCCACCTCTCTGTGCAATAATCTGTGAAATTCTTCTGACTTGGGGTTTCAGGGACACTAGGAAGTTCAGGAAAGAGTGAACTGACAGTCCTCAGCCCTCTGTCCTTCTCTTTCCCAGTTACAGCCATTAGCGCTGCTATTCTTATTCCAAATGCTGGCTGCACCTTTGTTTTTATGTTAGGGGGAATGAGGTGAGAGTATCATTTATGTTTATTACCCAAAAGGAGAGAGCAGCTCAAGCAAAAAGCCCACTAAAATAAAATACTCCCCTGCACATGCTTTTACCCCTGAAGAGAGGGTAAGGGAGGAAACATCATCTCGTAGATACTTTTTGCATTGCTCTGATTCCATAATCATGAAAAATGCCACAAAGTAGAACAGCATAGGGAACAAAACTTGTTTGGCTTGCAGTCAGTCTGGAGAATTTGCCAAGGTTGGTATCTTCCTTCTGTGAGGGAAGTTGAATCTGTCTCTTGCTAGTGCAACCTGCAATCTGTGACTAGCTGTATCCCAGCTGCTGTCAGATAGTGGTGTCTCAGAAGGGTAGCTTTTTCCCCACCTCCTGTGTACCCTTTAGCTGAAGTGCTATATCTACACTCTTGCACAGATTTTTCAACAGAAGGCACTCAAACTTTTTTGCTTTTCTAATCTGTGGTCAAGGTTGTTCACAGCTCAAAGCCTGCAAACTGTCATCTTTGAAGAATGGCTTGAGGTAACTCCAAGTAGGGTCCATGATGTTTAGGTGAAAATGCAGGTGCAGGAATGAAGATGACATACTACAAAAAAAAAAAACCAAACAAACATTCCAGAAGAACCAGATTGGTATGTAGCACATTTGCAGTTAAACAAAATCTGTTCAATAATTACAGGTCAAATATATTTGGGGCTTTTTCATGAAGAAATCTCGTTAATGAATACATCTGCTGAGAACTGTATACAGCACAAACAAGATGTTCAGCTTGTGCTGTAAAGTGGTTCTAGCATACCTTTTACTTCTTTTACAAACCTTGAACTTTTCACCAGAATTTCTAAATCTTGATTCAAAAATATCTCAACTATTAAAATCTTCTCTGGTTTTCTGGAGATGGCAGTGGCCTTTATGACACTGACAGCTTGCAGACTAAGAGAGAAGCTTTATAAAATACAGATATCCAAAGCAGGAGTAGAAATAAGACCCTCAGTGGTAGCAACTATATTTTAATACTTTTTAAAGAATAAAAATAAAAGACAGCAAAGGAGAGGAAATGAGGATGCAAAAAAGGTTTGGTTGAGAGGAATGTCCTATTGACTTTCACAGTTGTAGATTTGACAGCAAGCCTGAAAATGGGGCTTCTTGATATATTGTCACCAAAACAAACCTATTGCTTCCTTATCACTTTAAAATCTAAATAATTGAATCCATATTGAGATCCTTCAGTGCCTCTGGACTAGGACAGGCCTATTCCAGTCATTAAGCTAGGAATTCTGCCTACATCTTCAAAAGACATGGAAATATTTAATAGTTGAGGACTTCTTGGAATTGCCTTCTACATTGTTTCAATTCTTAGTTTTATTATTCAGCTGTGGCCCAGTTTGAAGCAAACTGGGAGCTTTAAGACAATTGTTTTCAGCCACATATATATTTTACATTTTACTATTTTAGTCTGTTTTGCTGCTTAGTTTGGCAAATATTTCTGTCCCTGAAAATACAATTCCTTTTGTTAAAATTCCCACTGGAGACACTAATTTCTGTGAAAAACTCATTTGTTTTCAGGCAAGATTTTTAGATGTTGACTAAGCAACTCCTAACTGTGTTGGAGGGGGAGGGATTCCCAAAAGTTTAGAGAGGAAATTCCAGGTACAGGTGAAACCATATAGTTTTACTGCACAACTCAAGAGTTTTCACGCTTAATTTGGCCCTGCATTGACCTGCACGGTGTCTCACAAAGCAAACTGACTCTAGCATAGGTCTCATAACCTTTTATGGGGACCACAGGGTAGATCTCCTTCCTTTTACAAGACTAGATGTGTTTGTAACCTACACTGATGGGATGATCACTGGGCAGGCTGGCTGAATTTTACTCATGCAGTAAGAGAAGGATCACAGAACATCTCTGAGAGGCTGGCTACTACCCATGCAGGTACCAGATCTGTTGGCCCCCCCTCTATACTGTTTTCCACCCCTTTGTTGCTGCTGGCCCCTTGGAGCAGGCTGCAGGCTAGATTAGTTGTTTTAACAGCAGTAACCAACTCTGGGCAATCTTTTCTGGGGATATCTGTAATTCACCACTGAGCCAAAGTGCAACTCTGATCATGAACTAGGAAAAGGGTTCTTGTACTGCTGGGAGGGAGATGCTACCATCAAAACCATTCAGCCGGTTCACAGCCGTCTCCCTACTGCATCTAAAGGCTGCTCAATACAGAGGCCATCGGGGAACAGGCCATAAAACAAATCCTCTAAAGAAAATCCAGTACATGGGCTACACAGTTCCCTGTAAGTCTGCACTATAGGCACTTATTTTCAAAATTCCAGCACATTTTTTCAGAGTTAAACAGTGGACATTGCATTACAACTTTAAAGAGCTCAGGAACTGCGTTTTTAACTGGAATTTATCAGCTTTTTTGTAGGTTCAGAATCTCTGCCCTGTTTGGTTTTGTTTTTTTTTTTGGTGTTTTGTTTTTTTTTGTGGTTTTGGGGTTTTTTGTTTGTTTTTGGTTTTGTTTTCTTTGTTTGTTTGGGTTTTTGTTTTGTTTTGTTTTTTTTTTTCCTAAATGTGCTTTAACCCACCAGGGGATAATAACAAATCACTGCAAATGGTTTTGTTATCAAGCTCACAAAACAGTCAGCAAAGCTGTATACAGTGCCTTTCATTTTGTTCTTTATTCCTTTCTAAACTGTCAGTGGTTATTTGGAATGTTCAAAGCACATTAAGTTAGATGTGCCCATGAAAGTGAAAACAAAGGCTTGAAAATATTATTAAAGATATGTAAGATGGTAAGTAGCCTTGGGGCTTAGCTCCAAAGCTATTGGCATGCTGTCAGCCTCCCTTATTCAAGCCATTGCAAATGATGTCAGGGAGATGGTTGGTGATTGTCTTTTAGGTGGTTAGCAAAGTTTGATCAGATCTTTCCAGTTTTGCAGGGTAGGTGAAACAATCAAAAGCGATACCTGATTTAATATAGAACCACAGGGCTGTGTCTAGTCATTTATCATCTGGGAAGAAAATCTGACCGCTAGCTTTTTCTGTACTAAGAAGGCAGGTGGTAAGCAGGACGCTTCAGCCCGGCCCTGCTCTAAGTGCCTTTAGCTGATGTGGGTCAATGGATAACACAACTTTTAAAACATAGCCTTTAATCACATGGCAATTCCATCTCATACAAAAATCACAAGACAGGCAGATTAAGGATGGATTTCACTGGCATTTAGAGCTGGTAGTCTTCCTAATGCCCTTTTTTTGTGTAGCTGGTTACACCAGTGGGGATCAGTTTGTTGAGTTGACTTCCCACAGTTAGTGTGTCCCATGGCAACCAGGAGGAGGTCCAGGAAGTCTCGGTGGACTGATTCTCAGATACAGCTTCAGCTCATTATAGACAAACAGAGATGAAGGTATGATGTTGATGTCAAACAGCTCTGTACTCCATCATGTATCTACCAAAGCCACAAGTGCTCCAGACAGCCAGGAAAACCAACATGTGTGTGTGTTAGAGAGGAAGGATTCCCAACTTTCCCTTTTGCAGCCCTGTTATCCCTTCCCTGGTCCTCAGTCTCTTTTTGCACAGGTAGGCTGAGGGGGTACAGGCCTTTCTGATCATACCCAGCTCCAGCTCTGAGAAGTACCCAGTCTGCCCTTGTTGCTCCAGAAAATCTCTGTGGGCAGCAACGATCTTCTGATATTGGTGAACTCCAGTTCAACTGAGAGCCCTCTGCTTTCACCAGTTTGGGACCCCTTTCGTTAAAGAAGCCAGCAATCTCATCACATTTGAACTGTGATGTCCGTATGCCAGCTCAGCACCTATCGTCTATTTTAGGCTCCAACAGCTTATTAACAATAACAGTGCAGCTGGAGAACTTAAAACAGAAGTAGATGTCTTCACTGAGAGGGTGATGGGTCACCGGAACAGTCTCCCCAGGGAAGCGGTCACGGCACCAAGTCTGTCAGCGTTCAAGGAGTGTCTGGATGATGCTCTTAGTTGTATGGTTTAATTTTAGGTAGTCCTGTGAAGAGCAGGGAGTTGGACTTGATGATCCTTATGGGTCCCTCCTAACTTGAGATACAATATGATTCATTGATTAAATTATGCCTGCCTTACTCTGTATAACTTTCAACAGTGAATCCAGGCTGTAATACTCTAATATTTTGAGTTTCTTTTTAGGGAAAAAGAAAAATACTGACAGGATTTTGGTTCTGTTGTTTGTTTGTTTGTTTGTTTGTTTTTTCCCAACCTCTCATGAACTTGAGAGCTTCTGCTTCAGTTTGTGCCATTGAAGTAAGATTGTAAGAAAGACAAATAACTTTAAACAAAAATAACAGCAGCAGATATATACTGAATGTACTGATTTGAAAAACATGAATGTGTACCAGGCAGAATTTCTCCGTGTCACAGGAAGTGTTGCCATGTTGGCATGTCAGTTAATCACACAAAGGCTAAATTATTTTGCAGAGCAGTAAGTGATAACTCTGATTTTTACCTCAAGACTCATCACATACAATCAATTCCAAATCTTGGAACAAAAGTAAAATTGACTTTTCTTTGGGACCTAATTAGTTTTACAGTGCTGACACTTGTGTTTTGATGTTGCTTTTGTTTCCCCCTCTTATAGACAGAAACTCTGCTTCTTCAGGTGGAAAAGAGAAATCTATGCGACTGTGTAACTGCAAATCTTCTGAACTGAATCCTGGAGGCCACCTAAGGAGTGTCACCTGTTCAGTGGTTTTTAAAATGCAGCTGTATAAAATACAGCTTTATGGAGTTCATGTTGCAAGCATGTATGCCCCAATGTACTGAGGAGATTGGGGGAAGGGGCTGTGTCTTATGTATTTGTCTGTTCTGGTTGGTTTTTTTTGAAAGAGTACCCTCTTTTCACATCCACTGGGTTGCCAGTAAGGGCTCAAGTCAGTATATCTGTTATTTAGTATTAGAGTGGGGGAAAAATTTTCCTGCTTTGATTTTTAAATCAGAGTTGTCCAAGTGTAACCCACAAGATAAATATGGCCAGCAGTGCTCTAAAGACACGTGCAGCTGTTTTTTGTCTCTAATGTGAATGTATCTGTGGCAACTTACCCCATTATGTTGAGACAGGGAATTGTGGTCTCTGTAGGCTTTGCCTGTGTATTAAAGATGATGGAAGTCCTTTCTGTTTCTTGTCTGCACTGTGACCACATTCAGGCATGTTGTAGTTCTGCCAGCTGCATTGAGGTATGTGTCATGAGGAGTTATCTGTGTGCTGTACCGAACAGTTCATATGTTAGTGCTGAGTTTTCTGGTATCCTGAGTGAGAGTATTGTCTTCTTTGATTAAAACCTTTAGTTTCTTCCCCTCCTTGCCTGGACACTCTGTTCTTAACCCATTGTATCTCTAAATAGATTTATCTTAGCAGGTCAAATGGATAGAGTGGAATAAGGGTATGACTAGGCAGCCTTGCCAGTTCCAGCTGTACCAAATGCTACCACCAGCAGCTGCTCAGCATGACACTGAAGGAAAGTTCAGTGCAGTGCCAAGAAGTTTCTTCATGAGAGTTTTCCTTATTTTACTTCAGCTGAAACACAGTGGTTAGGTCACATATATTTAGTCCATTCTGTGATGGACTGAACTCTGAACATTTTGGTCTTTCCTTGTAGTTGCCTTTGAAAGCTGCTCTTTTTGTTTCAGGCATGAAGAAAGACTTGTGTACCTGAGAGCTGGGGTGGTTTTTATGGTAACAAACAGCTGGGGGAGTGGGGGACCACGACTGACAGCCCCAGTGGCTTGCCAAGTCTGTCCAGGGCTTGGAAAACCAATTCCTGTACACTGAGAAGTGCACCATGCCTTTCTGTGTGGGACCAGGACATAGGCCAGCACAGAAGCTGTCGGACCTGGAGAGGGGATTCTGATGTTATTTTTCCAAATTCCCTCAAGGAGCACCCGTGCTGTGTGTTTTTCACTAAGCCTATTCACACAGCAGGGGAGCACTGGCACTGCTCATATCTGGATGCTTGGCAAAATAAGAGTAACTGCAGGCCTCACCTGCAGCTCCGTGCCAGAGAGCGGGAGGAGGCAGCAGTCCTTACTCATGCATGGTAGAGCATTTTCTAGACTTCCTGGAGCAAAACCTCCTTTGCAGGGCTCCATCTGATCCTGGCTGTAGCAGAATGGCTTCTCTTCTTGGCTTTTGCTGCACTTGGGTGGTCCCCATCTTGTTCTAGCTTGGCTTTGTTCCTTTGATTTGCTCTGGACCTGCCTTGGTTCTCCTCTCCAGTATAATCTCCATTTCTCCTTGCAGTCTGACTCTAGGCCCAGGGGTTTCTTGGTGAACCCCCGGTCCCCCATCCTGATGACTGTATGTAGTCACAGCAAGTGTGGGCAGTGGGGCTGGTACTCCTCAGAGCAGCAGTCCCTTTAGATCCAACTGGCAGCACTGCAGGAGCAATGAGTGGCACTCCAATTTACCATGGATTGAGTGAACATAGTGCTGAGCAACACTGTGCATTCCCTGCCCAGGAGAGACATTGTGGGGAAGAGCCTCTGTATACCTGGGAAGTCAAAATGCCCATTGCAGAACTTGGAGGAAATCGTAGAAGAATTCAGGTGGAGGAAAATCTGCTCCCCAAACTGAGTTAATCTGTGGACTGTCCACCAGGATGCAATAATCTCACTAGTTTGTTACAGGTGTGGACAGGAACCCAGCTATGGTGAGCCACTGGTTTTGCCAGGTGTTATTAATAACATGTTCTAGCACAACTGGAAACACCTGTAGATCTTGATGAATTTTTCCCTTGGTGTCTGCACAGACACCAGCTTGAGCAAAAAGAAATCTGACCATGTGGAAATACTTTCCTTCAGTCATTTTATTACACCTCTACTTTCTGATGCATGTCACCAAAACTGGGGTAGTGAAACACAGGACATAATAGCTGTTGCCCCAGGAGGAAGCAGTCAGAAGCGGGATAGATGGGGAAAGGGGAATAACTTCCCAGTCTTTTCCTGAGAATATGAAAAATTAAATATTCCTTTCAGTCTGCAGAAGATCCATTAGAACCAGAAATTTCTTAGTGGAAATTGCTGTATGCTCCTTTAAAGCCCACCTTACCTATTTTCCTTTAGTTGAGTGACTGTTTTGTACTACCTCTTGTTCAAAAGCACCAAAAGGGCAGGAGAGCAGAAGACAGCTAATACGCCACCAGTTCTAAAAATGGATTGGCAGGGAGGTCTGGGAATTGCATCCCGCAACCAGAATATCAGTTCTGGGCAAGTGAACAGAAACTTTTGAAGGATTTGAATATATAAACTCAGGTTTAATACGTCAGAGTGACAAGAGTCAAAACCATTTTTATAGAGCAAAATAATACAGCAGAACCAGATAAACGGCTGACAAAAGCAGCTAGGATAATTCAGAGTAATGTACAGGCTAGGAGTCTTCAGTCTAGACAAGAGATGACTGAAGAAGGAGATGTTAGAAGTTTATAAAACCATGAGTGACCAGAGAATGGCTGTTTCTGTCCCTTCTCAAACAAGAAGTGGAGTGCCCTGAGCAAAACCAGCTGGAGACAGGGTCAGAGGAAATAGGAGGATGATGCTTTTGACCTACTACGTGTTTCGTGTGGAAGTCCTCATTGCAGGATGTTGTTGATGCTAAAAATTTACGTGGGTTTAAAAAGCAGCTGTTTAGACTCATGCCTGAAAATCCAATTGCAAACTGTTAAATATAAAAACACCAAGGTCCCTGAACCACAAGTTGCTACAAGTTAGCAGTATTGTAGGAAGACATTGTAGTTAACCTGGGTTTTGTATTTTTCCCTACCCATTTCTTACTGGTCAGTGCCAAGGATGAGATACTGGCCTCAGAAGGATCTTTACTGTGATCTGGTGTAGTTGTTCTTATGTGTAGAAATAAGCCTCTTTCCAAATTCATACAGCAAACTTCCCTGGGCTCCAGAGAGCCACTCCTTTTTATCCCTTAGAAACAAACACTTTTAGAAAGTCTTGAGGTTCTGGGTTTCCCCACTGCCCAAGGACTGGAGACCATTTAGCAGGCCAGTGGCCCTGCTTCTGCAGCCCAGTAAGTTGCAGAGACCACTCTAAAGGGAGGAGTAAGGGCTCCTTTTTGAAGGGACAGAAATGGTACTGCAAAACACTTGCCTACTACCAGGAAGGAGCTATATAATTACTCAGATATCAGGGTCTCCTACATAGTTTACAAGCCCAGACCTGTCTAGGTTTCACTCCTTGGCCTGTGGCCATTCTTCTGCTTCTGTCTTGGCTTTTTGCTCAAGCCACTGTCCTAGTTACCCTTTGTGCTGACCATTGGATATGCAGATCATCTCTCCTGTGCCATAAAGAAATCTTGCAACAATGCACTCATGAATAGCAAACACCTGTACACGTGAAAAATGTCTGAAAGTGATTGTATGTTGCTGTGGTTGTGCTGCAGAGCTGGGAAATCTCTTCCAGACTTATGGTCCCACGTCTTTGATGGCTCTGGCACTGTTTTGCCTCTTGTCCCTCTTTATCTACACATACAGTATTTTCTCTGCCCTCTGAAAGCCTGACATTTGTAACATGAAAAATGGAAAGCATTAGTTCAAACAGACTTTCTCTTCCCATCATACTTAAAACTTTTGCCGTGCCTCCAAGAAGTGCGTTTTTCCTCCTCAAAATCCCAATGTCCCTGCTAAATCCAAACTGTTGTTTCATATGTATTTAATAGGGCCATCAGAACATGATGCATCCTCCTCGCTGTATACCTTGTCCTGTTTTATTCCCTGTACTACATTATGTGGCTGTCTCTTGCTTTGTGACTGCACTGAAAGCTGTCTGGGGCAGAGAAGTTATGTCAATAGCACTGGAAGGTGTCCATCACACCTTCAGGTGCTGTGCACTTATGAAATAAAAATCACAATGTAGATTATGCTGGCTTGTTGCTCTAGTTTCAAGCATAGTATTTGTTTTTATGCATAGGTTTGCAGTTTAATCTCCATGTAGATATTACTTAACCTTCTAGCTCCAGCTTGTTGTTCTGACTGTATCTTTGTAGAGATGGGGAGTGGCAGAGATGGTATTTTCAAGGCCTCTAAGCTCCTAAATTTTAAAAAGTGGCTTAAAACATAAGAAAAAGAGTTCCAGGCATGGATGCCATGAGAAAGGAAATGCAAATATCTGCATATATTCTATGTCTTACATTGGTCTGCCTACACTTTTATTTCCTTATAGTCAAGGCTGTCATCATTTGATTTCTGTTCTGAACCATGCACTTGCTGAAAACCTACTAACATATCAGCTTGCCTTCATTAGCCTTGAGCACTTTTTGCTGTTTAAATCACAGTAAGTGATACTGCACTTTTCTGGTCATTTACGTGACAAAACTATAGCTTATTCTCTTTGTAAATAGTCTGAAAATGGAACAGGACTGACAACTCTCTCACTATTCTTTATATAGGTTCACTCTTCCTTGAGAGTCCAAATTAACTGGAAAGACTGCTGACGGGTGATGCAAGTTAAACTGTTCCATAGTGCAAGTGGGATGCAGGTTTCAAGGGAGGCCAGAGTTCAGCTTCTTGTTTTGGGCTGGGGGGAACTGAATATTCCATGTGTGTGCATTAATAGCTGTGCTGAACAATGTTGATGCTCAGGCAAACAGAAGAGCAGCCTCAGCCCTGAACTACATATAATTCTTAGATGTTTTCTAAGCATTGATGCTATTTTCATTAATTTTAGAAAAAATATTAGAACTTCATTTTTACCCTATTACTTTGTTTTATTCCTAAACTCCATAAAATATTTGGCTATGCAAAAGCCAGTAGGTACCACTGACATAGAAATGAAGGAGTTGCATCACTGGAATTTTTCTGCTCTAAATATCAATTGTTGCATTACAGCACTTAGGGTCTTGTGTTGTTAGAGAAAACAGAGACAAAACACAGCTTCTATTTAGCTTTAAGTGCGAAGAACAGTTACTGCATGACATTTTTATTATCTAAGGGGCTTTTCTGTATAACAGAATGGTGTCTAGTCCAAATTAGTGGAAAGATCTACTAACATAAAGTACACTTTAATGTTAAATCATGACTAACTTTTGAGCAAAACAATGTTCATTTAGGCAAACAATACTGACAAAATCTGTACTTTTTTTGTGGCTTTTGATCCTGGTGCAATGTAGCCTTTTTCTTTGCATAAATCCCAACAGACTTTGAAGTTCCTAGTGATACCAGGTGTAGTGAGGTAAAGCTATTCAGCTCTTGACCACAATCTAAAAAGATGACCACAGTTTCACTCTGAAACTTTTCAGTTTAATATAGGGGCTGCGGAGAGGCACAATCTCTGGGATTGAAATCAAAGTTACCAGCATTTTATTTTAGAAAGCTATTGACTTCCAGCATTTGTGAATGCTTATAGTCAAGACTTTCATTGGAGGCCATCTTTAGTGCTGTAAATTGACTTTCAAAGCTCTGGGCAATGTGGGTTATTTCTTTTTCCCAGTTAAAGAACAGAATTTCATCCATGCAGTAAATTAAACACACACGGTTCCTTGCCTAAGCAGCTCTTGCATTCAACCTGGACTATATATACCCTGTAATAAAGTATCCAGCTTGTGAAAAGTATCTGGTTTCAGCCAACAGCACTGAATATAACTAATGCAGTCTTGCATTGAAGTGGGAACTGAACAGTGTTTAAATGCCTTCTGACAGCTGGTATATTGCACATTTAAAGTATGGTTTGTTTTAAATACAATGTAAAATCAAATTGTATTTTACTTATGGAAGGTTGAACCATGTCCTGGAAGTCAATAGCTTTTCTAAAATAAAATGAAATCTCCTCACCTCGCTTTCCTGTATGCACATATAGCCTGTGCAGAGAACTGCCTGTGCCTTTTGTTACTCTGGTTTTAGTAGTCACAGAATCCCAGCACTTAAAAAAACAACCATGACGTTCTTCCTGAACATCAACTGCACTCAGAACACGTGAATTCAGAAGGGAGTTTTGCACGCAGTTCTCTAGCAAGTAAAAAATTGCATGCTTTTATCTTCTTAGACAGGGATAAGACTGGCAGTAGCAAGGCAAATAGCTCAGCTTTGCTGTCAGCAACATTCAGTCTGAGAGTACACAAACAGTACACAATCCTTGCCTAGGCTGTAAATTTAGCCCATGTCCGGCACAGTGATCGGTTGCTGGATTTCCACCAGTCCAGTGCAAACAGTGGTTCTTACATTTTCTTGGAACCAGAAGCCTGAACTGACCTTCATTTCACAATAGCTTGACAGCAGCCCCTCCTGTCTAACAGAAACCATTCTAGGCTTTAGAAGGTGTTTAAAGATGCTTGTCACACTTGGCCTCAGTTGATTTTTGGAGAACTGATCAAGACTGTGTGCTTTCCCGCATCTTACATTGTGGTGAAAGAGGCCTCTTGGAGTTGACTAGCTCCTGCATTAAAGGATCTTGGTGCTAAGGTTCTATCACACTACCCATTTGTAGCCACGTCCCTGTTTTGCATTGTCATGAGGACTTCATTGGAACAGCTGCAGTGTCTCAAAGCCTCATAGTCTGCCCAAGGTTCAGCTTGTGGTTGGATTCTTGAAGAGTTTTCCGGGAAGTTTTCAGATGGGGAACTTGTAAAGTGACAATGCCAAGAACAAATTTGTAATTTCATGAGGGACACTTTTTTCCCCCACCAAACTTCTGACTTAATGTTTAAAGAATATACTGAGCCATCAAGCAAAGGTGAATCATTATCTCATGGCATGAGGGACAAGCTCAGCATAGGGTGCTTTAATTTTCAGTCCTTCTCAGGGCCTGAGATGGCGGCCAGAAAAAAAAGACAATACAATTTATTCTGTTTACGGGCTGAAACATCTACAGAGCACCAGCATCTCACCTCTCAATTAATCTATAAGACTGTGAAATAATTATTTAAAGGAGGATTAAGAAGCTGTGGGCCCAGGCAGCTGCCCTGCAACCAGATGTCTCTGATTGGGAATGTTCTTTAGCCATCAAACTTGCTTAGACCAGAAGAACATTGCCTTTGCTCTGATAACTGAGGAAGGAGAAATAATTAGTCTGAATTGCAGATGCTGGTCAAAGGCAATGCATTTCTCCCAGGGGTGTCTGTGTTTATGCTGGAATTACAACACAGAGAGCTTGGAAGTGACTGCCTGGGATGCAAAATTATTCTCGTAATCATAGAATCACAAAAAACAGGAAGGGAAAGGTATACATAAGAAATCACCCAGTCCACTGCTTGTCTTTATGGAGGGCCAACAATCCCAATGCTGTTCCCAAATTATGTCTAATTTATATTTACAGGCTTAAATATCCCCCTGTCTTTCACAGGCAATCCATCCCAGTGCCATCCCTGTTATTAAGAAGTTTTCCAAGGGCTTTGGTGGTGCCTCCTTGATGCAATTTAAATTTCTAGTTGTTTCTGCTGCTGTTGGTGTCTCTGCTAGTTCCTAGTATTTCAGTGACCAAACTAGATGCAGTACTGCAACTCAGACCTTCTGATGAAGTCAGTCTAAGGTCTTGCACTATTTTTTGTATATCCCAGGACAACTGCAATTTTTTGGCAGTGACAGAATATTATAGACTGATTTCAGATCGTGACTCCCTAGCTCCACTGAAGTGCCACTTAACCTGCTGTTTCCCATTCTAAATATGAGCTGTTGATTATTCCTGATTAAATGTAGCACCTTGTTCTCATCCTTATAGAATTTTATTTTGGTTTTAGACCCTTTTTCCCAACTTGTCTGTATGATTTAGAATTCTAGTCCTCTCACCCAACATTGCTTATAATCTCCAGGCTGATGTTAAATCTTAAATAGCCACTTTGCTTATTCATTATCCAGCTGACAAATGAAATGCTGAATAACCCTGGAATTAAGTGAATCTCTGCAGACCTGATGTGGCATCTTTCGTTGGTGACAGTGACCCATTGCTAACTCTCAGCAGTGACCCAGCCTCTTTTGCTGGCCTCAGACAGTTTCCTTAGTTTGCTTCTGACAAAGTTGTGTGACACAGCATCAGAAATCTTCCTGAAGTTGATAAATTTGGCTTTCCCTACCTGCAAGGCCTGTTACCATGTCACAGGTGGAAACTAAACTGGTTTGACTTGATTCTTGACGAATACCTCTTATTTGCAACTCCAGTTCTTGTTTTCCAAATGCTTACAAACTGTTGGTGGGATTATTGCTTCTAAAACATTCTCAGGGATTGACGGTAAACTGGTTTGTGTGTCATTTTCCAGTTTCTCTTCCCCTTTTTAAAGATAGTCACTGCATTTACCCTTTCCCATGTCTGGTATAACTCATATCTTCCTTGAATACTCAGCAATAATTGCTGATGGTGGTTGTTTTAGTTTCTTCTTTAAACATCCTGATGTAGGTCTAGTGACAGCCCTGAGTAAAAAGAGAGTTCTAGGCAGATTGAAACACAGCAAAGTGACCTGGCACAAACCTACAAGCATATGTAACCAAAGCAAATTTCTGCTAATGTTCTTACCTAAAACATGTTCACTGGTATTAGTTATGTTAGCTTCCTTCTCACTAGTTCACCTTATTTTGGTTGCTTGATAAAATAGATGCTAAGCCCTGTACCACTTTCTAGGCATCAACTTGATTAACTTTCCCCTTCTTCTGAGCAGAGAACAACTCTTCACTTGGTTTTGTCTTCCTTACTCCCCGTGCATTTAAAGAACTCCTTCTTGCTATTCTTCATGTTTCTCACTATTTGCTTTTCTGGGGTTATGCCTGTATTCTTTTGCCACTCTATTATTCAAGTAATAGTAACCAGATGCAGATTCTTCAGTCTCTGTGCTTTCTTCTTCTGTTTGAGTTCAACAAAGGGCTTATAGTCATGTTAGCAGGCAATGATTTAGCACTTCATATTAGACTGGGATTAACCATCCTATTTGCATGTGTGCCCATGACTATAATAATGCAGTTCTAAAATTAGAACCTTTCCCCCACCTTCCTTTTGTGCACACATATTTTACTCAGGCCTTTTATGTTAGTGATTTTAACTAGGTATACACATTTGCTTCCTTCACTGCAAAGATGTAACTTTCGATACCTGTAACAGGCACCAATAAGAAACTTTCTGAGGGAGCTGCCAGAAGCCTACCCTATCTAATCATCTTCCCAACAAATGTCTAGATGTTTCTGATTATTTTGGAGGAAACTGTTCTTTTGTTAACAAATGATAATTAGGTATGGATTCTCTGTAGAAAAAGAAAACAAAGTATAAATATTTCCATCAGCCCTCTGGGATTCACTATGACATTCTTCAGGCAGCAAATGGACTCCTATGAATCTCTTGGAATTTTCTCATCATTCAAAGTAAATTTAGTACTGGTATCCCTTAGTCATAGTGGTAGGCAATTGTGAATGTAATAGCAAAGCAAGTCATGCAAGTGCTTTCATGCTTCTCTCTTCTTCAGCTTTGCTGGAGGTGATAGAACAACACAGATTTCTGGAACTTTTCCATGCAGCCTGGCTCCTGTTCCGTGTGAATTGAGAACGGCATCTTGGACCACATGGTTCTGTTAGCAAGAAGAGTTGGGAACATTTTTCACCTGCTTAAAGATCATGGCATTTGACACAAAAATTGGCCTGATTCTGCAAGTGCAATGTGTGATTGTTTTATATTGGCACCAAGCAATTAAAAAAAAGGACATTATTTTAAGCCTAGTAGTATGCTGTAACACAGAAATAAAACCTTCAACCCCATTAGATGGTGGTTAGAGAGTGTCCTACTGCAGATCCCCCCCCCCACTGTCACAAGCGGGAGCAAGTTCAGTTGTATTGTACCGTCTGGATGGCAGTAGTCCAAATCATCAAGGACTCCTTCTGTGGTGCTATCACTGTGTTAAGTTTGGATAGTGGGTGGCTGAGCAGTCAGAAACCAAGACAAAGACAGTCCATCCTCTCACAGAGAAGCTTTACTGGATCCTTATACAACTATGCATATCGCTCAACCATGTGTAGGTATCATTTGAGTCTTGGTATCCTGGGAATGACATATTTCAGGACCTTCAGCTTTTCTTTGTTCCAAATCTTGCCAAGTTCTCAGTTCTGATCTCCTTTTATACTTCTGCAGTTTTTTAAGATGGGTAAGACCTCTGCTTACTTCTGTGGTTGCCCTTCCTCCCTGAGATGTCAAATTCCTTTCTTTACCTCATTGTGGGTTGTACTTCTTGTTCTACCTACCTGCTGAAAAGACCAAGCAATTATGACAAAGATTTTACAAAATAGTTACAATTTTAGAAAAGTCTATATTGATACCTTGAAAAAATATTAGAACAAACAGTGCTTTCTACCTTATCAAGGTTTATTGCATCTGTAGGCAATTCCTTTCTCTCCTTTTCTTGAAGATCATGTATGAAAAGTAAGATATGGCCGTGGGACCATAATGAGGGTATGCGCAAGAAACACATATGCCGGGGTGAATGGAAGTATAAGGTTTGGATTTTGTGCCAGAATTTCCATTTGGTGTTATTTAAAACTGCAGATCAGGGCTAGACTATGTGACCAGCTCTAGATGAGTGTATAGTCAAACTGTACAATGTTGTTCCATTGTATCCTGGCTCTTATGGAGCTGCTCCTTTAACAGGCATCTGAGGCCTGTGAAGAGACAAACAATGTTAAACTGAGCGATCTCACACAACCTCACTTCAGGCATCCGGCTTCAGAGCCTGGATTAGGAGTATCAGCTTTTCATAAAGAGCTATTTTGGTGCACACATGTGCCCTGACTCACCTTCTAAAGACCTCACTGACTAAGACCTTCATTTGAACCTTCCATGCAAGGAAAGTTGAGTTTCGGTTGCACTCTGGGCTAAAAATTTTCTTAATGTGTCATTCTTGTAGGAATTGCTTCCACAGATCTGGGCTGCGCCCCTGCAAAGTCCTCTCTTGCATGCACAAGCCAATTCGACTTTGCTAGAGAGTGGTCAAGAGCATGGAGCCCTTTGAGATGACTTTTAAACTAACCTGGTCCAAAAGGATAAGCATTGAAATGAGGGATGTAAGAGGTAATTCTGAGAAATCCACAGGAACAAGTAAAACAGAATCAGAGTACATTGCTGGTGACAGTTCCTAGGGCTGGAGAAAGCCAGGGATAAATTGTGTCTCAGCCTGGGAAAGCTGATACCTCCACAGCCTGGAGGTAGAGTGTCCTCCCATGAGAGAAGGACAAAGTCATGAATTGAACAGATTGATTGCAAGATGAGCCTTTAACCACACTCTGGGGCAAACAGGTATTGAGAGCGTCTCTCTCTCTTTTCCAAAAGGTATCACCTCCACTTTCTGAATGTCTGATTTCAGCCAGGTACTTACAGAGAGCCCCTATCCAGGAGGGCTCCTGCTTGAGCTTTGTCAGGACACAGAACATGGTTGTTTCATGTGCCACTGTTTCTGTTGTCCACAAGGCTTCCGTGTAGTTAAAGGAAGCCCATGTGAAGTCTTCCCCAAAGTACAGGGTGCCATCAGCAGGCCCTGCATTTTTATTTTTCTGAGTAAACTTCTGAGTTTTCATCTCATCTGAAACCTCCCAGAACAGAATCTCACTTTAAGTGAGTTACAGCTAAAGCAAGGGATGGGAGCTGCGTATTTCAGTCCCTTTGGGAATAAAAGCAACAAATAGAAAAATTGCCTAAGACATAATTGCCTCTTATATGGTTGGCAGCAGCCAGTGTTTGCCCAGGAGAGGACAAGGCCTCTGAGGAGCAGAGGTGGAAGAGGAGTACAGCGGTGACCATGCACCACATCGTGGTCCCTTTAAATCTTCTGCACTTGGCAGCTCCAATTTTTTAGTGTTGCTATAGCAAATCTCCATGGCAATGACCCTAATCGGGGAAGGGGGATGCAGAGGGGACGCATGCTCAGAGTGGCTGCTGGAGCCTCGCCTGCTTGCTACAGCTGCTCTGGGTCTGGCAACACAGGCGAAGAGAAAGATCAGGTACTTGGCAAACTGGTCCCTGGGGTGCATCGCAAGCCCGTGGCGTGTTGCTGCAGTGGTGTGTGCATGTGAGTTTGAGTGTGCATGTGGGTCTGTGCTTATCACGTCTCATCCACTTCTTTGTGGAAGCAAACTGCTGATTCTCACTCTTTCTCCTCATTTCAGGCAGGGAAGATAGCTTGAATTATTGATGAGAGGAATGGCGTTGCCATCTGTCTGGAGCATGATGCGTGTGGCGATCCCGTTCATCTCGGTGGTCGGCCTGCTAAGCGTGAGGCTTGTGGGGGCTGGCCAGGACTCCGGGAGCATCATTCCTGCAGAAAGTACGTACCTGCGGAGCGCACCCATGCCCTCCCGCTGCACCGCGTCCCGCTTGCTTCCCCCCACTTACCCACAGCAGCCACACAGACCTTGAGCTCCGGGGGAACGTTGCATTGCCCGATTAGCGAGGGAGAAATGATGAATTTGTTGTCAGCTAAGCACATGAAAACAGCGCTTCTAAAAACAGCAGGCAACAACGCTTATAAAAACAGCAAGTAGGCAAAGGATTAGTGGTTATTTAGGAAAAATACTAACTGCATACTGTAATTTTCATTGGAGCTTGTTTTAAAGCTCTTTGGTTGTAGGTCTTTTAGATCTGCTTCTTGAGAGTTTCGTTTCCAGATTTGCCACATCTTTGCTAGTCTGGATATTGTTAGAGGAAAATTTGTATTTATTTCTGCTAGGGCACTGCATTTTGCTTATTTTAGTATTTGGTTGGAACAATAGGTCAAGTTCAACTTTATTGTAACTACTACAGATTGACACAGGGGAAGTTGACCCAAAGAGTGTATTTATAAACCACATAGATTTCTGAAATCCTGCTGCTGTTCTGCAAACCTAAAATATGAGAGACTGGCTTGAACACACCATGGAGCTGGGAGCTCTTGAATTTGTATCACACCTCTATATTACCTTCCTCTGTCATTTTGAGCAAATCCCTGTTTAAACTTTATCAGCTCCAAAATGAGGCAATAGTTCCAAGATATTAGGGGATGGAGTCAATGTTCTCAGGGTGTTTTGGTGACAGCAAGTGGGAAGTAGCCACTCATCAGAAGCTTAAAATATCCTCTGGGAGAAAAAAAAAAAAAAAGGTAACACTATACAAACCAATCTCTGGTTCTTAGTCATACTTACTTTGTATCACAGCTATCTTTTTACATGACTATCAAAATATTTAATACAAGACCTGATTTAGTCACTGCATTGTATTCTCCTATTTTCATTACTAGTTTTCAAATACACCTATGTGTATTTGTCTCTACAGGACTTACATGCTAAGTTCCCTTCTTTTTCCATTCTCTTATTTTTTTATTAGTGCTAGGTTTTGGTCTGTTCTAAAACAGACTTCATCTCTATTTTGTGTGTCTCTTTTCTGGGCATTAATTAATTTTAATAAGTTTTGTGACAAGTAGTCCATTTTGTCTCCTCAAGGAGAAAATCATGCTTGAAAAATAATGTATATATGCCCTTTATGTGTCTATGTTAGCAGAGGCAAGTTAACACATTTTTGGAAAAAGAGTATATAGTGGTTCCTTGTTCTGCTTGTGTAGTGGAAACTCCCATTTTATCTGTGGAACAAAACTCTTGGCCAGGATCTCTGACCCCAGTCTCAAGGAGTTATCTTTTTGATATCCTCTGGGCAGGCTACCGAGTCCCCTGAAGAACCCTTAAGGAAGATTCATCATCTTGTCTTACTCCTGCAGGTGAGAGTGGGGAACGAAGGGCAGGTCAGAGCATTTCTGTGACCAGTGTTTCTGCAGAGACATGCTGCTCTGTCCTGAGTAATGGAGGCTGGTAGCATTGCTACAAATGCATTATGGTATTTATGCCTGAGACCGGGCCAGGAGGAAGACTCTCAGCTGGTCATGAATTGTAAATTGTTTTGTACTGCTTCAGGGACAGAGTTTTAAAGCAACAAGGAATTTGAGATGCTCCTAATCAGCCACTTGTTGAGGGAGTGCTGCATAGCTGCTAGTGCTCCAGGTACTTTCCTTTGACCATCTGGGCTCATCCTGCTAGTTAACCTGTGGAACTTCTCCCTTAGGACACTGGATGCTAAGCGTTTGCATATGATTGCAGAACTGATTGGGTAAATTTAAGGAAAAAAAACCTTAGAAAGGGCTGTTAGATACAGCAGCAGTTCTTCTGGCTCAGGAGCTGCCTCAGCATATTCCTGAGGTCTGGGACTGTCTTTGGGGACACATCCCTCCATGCTTGCCCTGTTCTTGTGCTCTTTCATGGACGTCCATTGTTGGCCATGAAGGTCACGTCTATAACCAGTGCCCATGGGTGTTCCCTGGCATGGAGACATGACAGTACAAATAACCTGCTAGGATGGTCCCTGGCACACTTTTGTCCATGGAAGGAGGCCAATTGCCTGTCTGGAAGACACTGTTTACTGTTCCAGAGATAGGCTGTGTCGTGCCAGCTGCCCTCAAACCTTGGGAATGCTCTTAGACACATTTAATGTCCTACAAGAGATGTAGCTCATGGGAGATAGGACACTGTGCCAGGCAGATCTTTGATGTGATCTAGTACAGATATTTCTGGATCTTTTCCTGCTTGATGTCAGCTCCACTGGCTATTTCTCATCATGGAGTTGATCCTCCTGGGCACTGACCCATTCTGGGGGTAGCGCTACTGGAGCACATGTGCCACACCTTCCCTATTGCTGGCACTTAAGTCCATACTCTCAGCCCAGGTAAACTGGTGGTTGTGGGATACTGAATGACCCAAGGAGACAAAAGGGGCTCTAGTGCACGTTCTTGAGAGGGATATATGATGTACATGGACCATACTAAGTGTCCTGCAGGGCAGACCAGTGTGGTGCTTGATGCTTTTCTCTGTTCCCAAGTGTGCGACGTGGGACTGGAAACATGCCTTGAGGAGGAACAATCCCTCATGGACCACACAGCACTGCAGCCTCTCTCTCCCACTTGGTGGGAGAAATGTGTCCCTCCTGCAGCACCACGAGCAGGAGCGGGGCAGCAATGCTCTCCTGCAAGTGTGGGAGGTGCAGGAGTCACAGGAGAGAAGCATGAGGCAGAGTTCTTCTTAGCATTGCAGAGATCCTGCCCTGTGTGTGGCACTGATATCTGGCTTTTGGGGTACCATCACCTGCTCTCCACTTGTCTTACTTTCTGCCAGCCAGAGAGCCAGGCCCAGCTTTTAATGAATAATACTAATTAGCAGTGATTAATCATGTCCTTATACTTTATACACAGCACTTTGCATATGCAAAAGAGTGCTCAAGTATGAAGTGGTGTTACTAGTGTTTGCAGATTATTTTCTTTAAAGTTCAGTGCAACCCACTAAAAAAATTAAGTCATTTCCCCAACCTCACATTGCATTTATAGCCCAGATCACCCACTGTGAAAGCTGAAATGTGGAATTTGAACAGAAGCTGGTCTGTCTGTTTTCATTAGCCAAGGTGCATGAAATGCAAAGAGTAAACACCATGTGCATGCGAGGGAAAGTAAATTAGACTTCCACAGGGGTTTCAGTTCCAGTTTTTCACCAAGAAGAAGCCAAGAAGCATATTTTAAGATCTCCTCCCCCACTTCTCCCCAAACACACAAAGAAACATACAGCCTTCGTGCTGACAGGACCCATTTAAAGAATTATAGTTGACTCTTGATAATTCTCATTATGTTAATCCACAAACCTGTTAAGTCTCCCTATGAATGATAGTCTGTTCCCAGCTGTCAGCAAGGAATTAATAGCACTGTGCTGTACTTTGCGATGATGTGACTTAAGGTTTGGTTTCATGATTGCTTTAAGCTGATGTAAACCTATGCTGCCTCTGCCCTTCTCCTCCCCATAACCTGACCTCCTGTTCTTTCTCTGTTTCTTGCTCTGACCTCAGAACTTGGGCATTCAGGATCTGATCTGGAGAAAAAAATATCAGTGATCCAGCTGACCAAGCAGCTGCATAGTCACTCCTGCTGTGAGCAAGGAAAGGTGTGGGAACACGTAGCTAAGGACAGAAAGCAGGGTGGGTTTGCTCCTACTGGCAACAGCACATATTTAGATTTGTTTAAAACCTTTGTGAAAACAGACCCTTAGACATCATTACTTTGGGGAAATGTCCATGGGCATCCTACTGAAAATCTTGTGAGCATGAAGAGAGATTAAGTCCAGCTAGATAGACCATTTTACCAGCCCAGTTCTTCAGTCTGGAAAGGAGGCACCAGAGCAGGGAATGATGGAGAGCAGCAAAGTCATAAGTGGGACAAAGATGGTGAATATTTAATAACTGTCTCTTCCAGTGCAAAAATTAGAGGCAGGAAATGATAGCAGCAGATGTTAACTTCAGAACAAACAGGAATGGCATTTTGTTTACCCAGCAAATAGCTGATCTGTGGAACTCATTGCCACAAGATGAGTTCACGTGGACGCCATTTTCCTGCAGAAGCTACTTTGATGTCACGGCAGGTGCTTTCACAGAGGTGACAGAAGTGTAGTAACCACTTGGCATGGCTGTGCCATTCACTAGTACCTCCCTGGCCACATAGGAGCACTTGGCTGACATAAATACTAGTGAATGACCCCACACAGCCATGGGGGCCTGGGAAGACTTCCTGGGTGGCAGGCAGTGATTGACTGTGGAATTCATGGCTCTCATCAGAGGTGCCTTCTCCACACTGTCGGAGCAGGAAACATTCATTTATGACCCAGTCTCCTTTTTCTCTATCAGATTCTGATTTTGAGAACACCTTAGTGACAAGCATTTCAGGGTATGCAGCACTTCACCAAGGTGGAGCCAGATCAGGGTGCTTTCTGAGAAGACCACAGAAAGGGGAGGGAGCAGGCCACGGCATCAAGTGAATGATGGATTTGCTGACAGCAGACTGAGTATGTGGGCTCTTTTTAAGGGCTCTGCTCCACGATCTAAAGTGAAAACAATTAAATTACTGAAATACTGAAAACAAGAGGGAGTTGAATGTCTTTAAAATGTGCTCAAAACCATCCTGTCACTAGTCCTCTCAGGCCTGGAGAGTCTTTGTGAGTGATGTTGTTCTTATAGAGGTGGGGACTTTGCATCTCTCCACATCCCTGGAATTAAAACCCTGGCTTGATCCCTGGGTCTCCCTGAGATGTCAGCTGTGCGGAGGGGAGCTGGAGGAGGATAGATTGAAGAGAAACACCTCCTCAGCATGTCAAAGCCCTTAAGAGGCTTGCTGGGGACCGAGAAGCTCTCTGGCTGCTCCCTTCTGTCAGGTCCAACTCAGAAGTCCGTGTTGGCAGCAGGGTGCCAGGCGTGGGGTGCTGCAGTGCTGCATGGCAGCTCTCTGGCACTAGGCAGATCCCCAACTACCTCAGCAGCAGCTTTGCACCCGATTTGCTTTGTCAGAACAGCACAAGTGACTGCCTGGGGACGAGGATTTTAACCCCCCCCCCAACATGGGGGCTTTGTGATGGATGTAAAATGTCCTCTCTCCCCATTTCCCCAGCATCACCTCCAGTATCTGCATTTTCTTCTCCTGAAAACCCACACTTCGTTAAGTCTGTGACTGAACAAAAGGGCCCAAGGCTAGTGCAGGGTGAATCCTGGCAGAGCAGAAATGACCAAGTCTACAAGTGAGCCATTTTAGTTGTTGTCAAGTCCCTTCCTCCTCCTCTTTTCTGCCTTTTCCCTGCCCTGCCCCTCTGTGCGCACACACTGGCACCAGCTGCAGAGCCAGTGGGATGCTTTGCATTCCTGGCAGAGAAAAAATACAGCATCAGGTGAAAGGAAGCAAATAGAGATCTGGCACTGTCCCTTGCCAAGCTGGTCTGTAAGAGCTCATGTAAAAACAGACCTGCCTGTCTGATTTCTGAACCACTGCAAACTGCTATTTTCAGTGTATCAGTTGAGAATTAACCCATGTCTGAGGAGGGTTGAGAATTTCAATTTTAAAGGGAAAGGCTGGGGACTGAGGGCACGCAGTACTGGGCAGAATCGAGCCTGGGTTACGTTCAGAAAAAAAACACACAGAGCAAAATGCTCTTGTGCTTTTGCTTGTCCTCACACATTTGCACAAGAGTAGATAACAGCCCTCTCTACAGGCAGCCCTTTCTTTGTACACGTGCAGGTGTGTGAAAAGGGTTTTCTCCTGATTACAAGGTGTCCCCCTCTGTACTGCTACCCTCCGAATTTCATGCTGTGACAGCGATGTCTTCTGTACCTTTTTCCAGGTCGTCCCTGCGTTGACTGCCATGCGTTTGAGTTCATGCAGAGGGCGTTGCAGGATTTAAAGAAAACGGCATATAATCTAGACACACGGGTATGTGTTTCTATAGAAATGCTTTTAGTTAGCCTTTATCTCCAAGTGCCCAGGTCTGCCTGTCTGTGTGCAACAGTCGAGACATCTCTGCTGACTCACTTCCATTTCAGCAAATAGGATTGTATCAAGTACAGATTATTTTTTCACAGGCTGGAGAGGTTCATTAGAGATAATCTAGCCTGACTTCTTGTGTAACAGGCTAAAGAATTACCCCAGACAGTCCCAGCATCAAATAGAGAAGGAAAGAAGATGTATGCAGGGAGAGAAGAACAAGAAAGATGATGTACTCTTTATCTCACAGCATTACTGCTGAGCAGTGGACTGACTATTCACTGGGTAGGAGCAGAAAGTGAACTGGAAAGCATGAAGGTGGCAGGCAGGGCTGGCAGAGAGTAAAGAGAAGCATATATATTCCTTGCTTATGGGTTGATGCTTTGTGAAAAAGGGGGAAGCGCATTTGTTCAAGTAGTTATCACAGCACACAGGATATTTTGCAGCTTTACATGCTGGTCTTGTGCTGCAGAGGTCCCAATGAACAAAAAATTAATGTGTTAAATGCCCTGATTTTAGCAATGCATATGTATGTGGTTTCATAAAAATACACAAACACTGACTGGGGTAGGACTTACCACAGTGGTTCCCATGCTGTCTGAAGTTTGAAAGAGGTGGGAAGTTTCTCACCTCTAACAAAGCCTCCTCCGTGTATGTCTTGTCCTACCTGTCCTTCCCTAGCAGCTCCATTAACTGGCAACATGACAGTAAAGCAACTTGTTGTGAGTGAAACCAGATCACAGCCACATCTCCCAGTTCCTTTAGGTGCCTACTCAGTGCCCATGGCCAGTGCTGTCTCTGTCGATAGGTGAGAAGGGTTCATTGCTCCTCTAAAGTCATGCTCCACTCAAATTGTCATTCACAGCAGAGTCAACCAGAGATGTAAATCAATTATGTGTCTCAAACTATAATACAAAAGGGCAATTATGTTGCTTTGCCTTTGGTTTCTTGTGACCTTGGGCAATCATGTAGGACCCTACACAATATGGTTGGAGTGCCTTTAGCTTTCTTGAGCTATCAATAGCAAACTGATTAAGGCAGAGCTGTGAGTGTAGTGTGGGCTACATTGCAAAAGTTTCCCATGCACTAGCATAATAACTGAATAACTGTTAAGTATCAGACTGTGAATAGAGGGACTTTACCTCCAGCCACTGTTCTGGTGCACAGCAGGGTCTCACCTGTTTGGATTAGGTTCAGCTGAAATGTTTTGTACCTATGCATGGCATGGTAAGGCCATGTGCAATCACAGCTGTGTTGATTCTTATACTGTCACCAGGCTGTACATGTGAAGTTAAAGAAGGTGCTAAATTTCTGTCTAAGCTGCACCAAGAAGACTTTTTTTGAATGCAATAGAGCCAGCTCCACTGCTTAATCCCACTTACAGAGATATTTAGATGTATCTGTGTTGGCTATCCTATTTGAAGAGTGGAGTGAGAATACAACCCACCAGAGAGCAATGCTGTCCTGTAAGAGGTGAGGCAGAATATAAAGGGAGAAACTGGTCCCAGAGCACCGCAAAATAAGCTTCTGTTTCTGTGAGGACCTGCACAGGCCTGAGATGCCAAGGCACTGTTTCAGACAGCCCTCAGTATTACAGAACAATGAGTATAGGAACAGTGCATCACCAAAGCAAATGTAACCAGTTATCTGGGACATTACACACCATTCGACAACAGTCAGAATTTAATATTACTAGTAAAGAAAGGGTATATTACTGTCCATCTTTTCCAGCCTTTGGATGAGACTCCAAAGGCCTTTCTGGAAGACATGCTTTGGTTAAATACAAATTATTGAATAATACAGAGATACTAAAGTGACCAGGGATCTACAAATGTCACACATGGCCTTCTATTCTCTGAAAGGTACAGCCTCCATATCCTTACTCAGCCGCTGGTGCTTGGCTCATGCTGACCAGCTATAATTTCTCAAGTTTTACACACAAATAACTTAATTCAACAACTCGTAAGATTTGAAATTTGTTGTTACAAGGGCAAGGCCCATGTAGGACTATTCCTATCAGTGACTTCCTAAACCAGTACCGACAGGGCAGCAATTAAATTTTATTATTGATGCTCTCTTTCATAGTCTTTCAGTTTACAACTGGGTGCTCCCAGAATGGCTCTTCCTGCCAGTAAATAGTCATGACTGACGCCTAGGCAGGGTTTGTGGTAACAGCGGCAGCTTGTTGGCACTATGGTGAAATCCAATAAGTCTGATGTTAAGAGGATTCTATGATTTCTGTTGGGCTCCCAACAATGAGAGTATTCACTCTCACCAATCACCAAGATTTCATTGTACAAGCAAGGAGCAGTGTTTAATAATGCCTGCCATTGCACTGAAGATGATAAGTGAAAGCAGACAAGTGAAGTGAACAAGTCCTCTTTAATGCAAAGGTGGATGTCAAAAGTCTGAGTTGAAGAGGATAGAGGGCCGTGGGGGGGAGGGAAAAGCAGTTCTGAAACAACCTCTTCCTGCAAAAGCTTGAAGTCTGAGAAAAAGAAATGAGGAGTAGAGAGTGGGAACTACTAGGGGACAGAGGTTCTGCTAGCCAAGCAAGGCATAGCTTGGTGAAACAGGTCCCTAGGTAGAAGTGCCCAGTTACTCTTTTGGAAATGGCGTCTTTGTTAACTAGCCCTTTGATGTTTCTAATTTGTTAGGAGGTATCATGCCAGAGGAACACCAGCAGACTGAAGACCTTGTTGCTTCCCAGAGCTTTGAGATAATTTGTTAACAAGAGGTTTTCAACTTTTAATGGGTTTTTCTAGTGCAGATGGGAAACCTATTCATAGTGAATTTAAGCTTGGTAACTTTTTTTTCCCCTTAAGAAATTCTTCAAAGTCAGTCTACAAACTGCTTAAGGGACCACAGGGTGGAAGTCACAAGATATGCTCAGGGAGATGTTCAGTTCATCAGTCACAATTGCACTTGCCAATGTGAGTTGCTTGCACCAACATATTTTGAGTGTTGTAAGAGACTCAGCTTCTGAAATGATGGTGCCATTTGAGAAATTCAGCCTTTATTTCTCAAAAAGTGAGACCAGGACCCACAAAAGGTTTAAGTTATTTGCTCACAATTAAATAAATGATACTTAAGTATATTTGAGGATCCAAAGTAAATTTTTTTTCCTGGGTACAGAGGAAAATGCTTGGAAATGCTTTTCCACTAAGGCGCTCCAAAACCAAGAGCAATTAACTTTAAATTATGTATATAGAGAATTGTTTTTAAGTTTTTGATGGAGTTCTGGGGGCATGGCTCCAAATGGACTTGATAATAAGGCAAATGTCAGTAAATTAACTTAGGTTAAAATAGGAGCCACAAACTCAAGTCTAGATCTGCCCTGAAAGATTATGAGTTTCAGACAACAAGGTTAGACTGACAGCTGGATTAAACTCAGAGTTATTCTCGAGAAACAGCAGTGTAACTGAGAGCTCAACTGGCTTCTCAGCACATGGTGTCTGGTGCAATTAAATTATACAGTACTGAAGATATCATCAACAGGAAGCCATCAATCTCTGCAAAGGAATTAAGAGCAGTGCAGTTGAAAGTGGAATTTCCTCAGCATTTCTAAAGGACACTTTAATAATTTTGACAGACTACTCCCTAGAAGTTAACTGTGAAAATGAAACATTTAAACTATAAAAATACTCTCCATGCATCTCCGTTCTGAATATACTTATTTCATCACTTTTTCTGGATGAAAACCAGCATTAATAACTATGATTTTTCACTCAGCAAAGCACCTTGGCTACAGCTGTGTGGAGGGATTAGGTCCAATCAAGTATATGCTCTTCTGAAGTGATATATTCAGTTCTTTGATTTAATGTTTTTTTTGCAGACAGAAACCCTCCTCCTGAGAGCAGAAAAGAGAGGCCTGTGTGATTGCTTTCGTGCAATACACTGAAATGAGCACTGAGATTTGACCAATGGACATTTATTCATTTTTTAAATGCTGTTCAATAAATTACAAGAAGATACAGAGTGCAAGTTGTGCCACACCACAAGGAAAACAATTTTTATCCAAACAGGTACAGCTCAGATCATTTTTGCTTTGATGTGTTTTATCATTACTGTATGCGATATTGCATCTGCTGAAATGTCAACAGAATAAATAGTGCCAAAGTCTCGCTCATGGGTTTTATGCAAGGATAACATCTTGCTTTTCTGGTATTTCAAGCCAAAAATTGTCTTTGGACTATCAGGCCAACCCCACAGCACATGTGAATTGCCATAGATCTGTGAAAGTTACTGGAGTCAAATTCTTTAATATATTTATGGTAGAATGTATCCCTAACATGAAAAGGAAGCTACTTTGCAGTGATGCATAGCTAAACATTTGCAAACAATCAGTCAGAGCTTTATATAGAAATTAGTAGTTGTCACTGACTGCTTGGCAATCCAAGGAAGGTATTTGTTCCCAGTTGTGTCAATAGTCCAGTGCACAGCAAACACTGTAATCTGTGTATCACAATTTTAATTTCTTCAGAGCCACGCAGTAGCTGTGATCTTTTTGGAGAGATTTATTAAGTATCTAATGTGATCAGTAACATTTGTAATCACATGAATGCTGCCTGGCAATTGAACGGATTGCATCTGCCAAAATCTTCTGGAGAAGTGTCTTTCATTAAGCAAATCACATACTGGAGTGAACCACTCAAACTGGCCTCTACAGAGAGTTTTGGCAGAGAGCCTACAAAATGTCGGTGTGCTCAGGAGTCCCCTGCAAACTGTATTTTGAGAAACATTTAAGTTCTTCCAAAATAGGCCATAGATCTTGCATGGGCTTTACAGTCCATAGTGGTGGGTTACACTGATGATACTATTAATATTCCTGCTGCAGTCACTGTAAGACAAGAGAGAACAAACCAATTTAGGCAGTGTAGTACTAGTAGTGGAGAAGATTGCACCTTGTTACTCTTTGAAAAAGAATAGCAAATCCTTTCTCATTGTTTTCCTTTCTTCCTTTGTTTTGGGAGCAGAGCAGAAGATGGCCCCAGTGGAATGTTCTTGTAGATAATAATATCTCTTTCACAGGGCTTAAAATATCATCCCCAAACTATAATTAATAGAAATTTGTATATCAGCTAGAGCTTCTATGTACAGTCTAGAAATTTTTATACAAACAAGAATATGGGAGAAGTATCAGCAGCAGTGGTTTTCTAAGTAATTTTACCAATTCTTATTAATATGTCTGTCTTCCCATAAGTAGCTGATATTTTGCTGTCAGGATGCTCAGTAAGTTATGATGGTAGCTAGCAGTATGTTTCCAAACTGCTTCTCTCCTATTTTGTCTACCACATTAGGCACAGGGAAATAGGGAACTGTGACCCAGTGCCACCTTGTTTTGTGTGCAGTCATACTCAGTAACACAAAGGAGTGTATTACCATATACTCTGCCAAAGTTGTTTGAAAGGCATGTGACTCTCAGAAAGGAAAAGCTTCCTTGCACCTGCATTTCAAGTAGGAAATTTGCTTTGTCCTTTGTAATATTCTATAAAAAATCTTTATAGGTCATCAAGACCTAGTTTGTATAAAAGAGAAGCAGCAAGCAGCATGACACAGCAACACATTGTTTCTAGTAGCATAACACTCCACAGTAGCACTGGTAACTGACTGATAGACAGTATTTTGTTTTACAGATAAAACGATAGGTTTAACACAACCCCTTTGCAAAATACCAGCCTTAGGTTACTTTACTCCCAGTTAGATTTGAACCAAAGTCATGCACAGATTTTGAGTTGGCTTTTTGCAGGAGATGGAGTTCCAGCACTGAACCTGTGAATTTTCCAGCCCAGCTCACCTTTTCAGGGGGCAGCATGTCTATGGTTTTGTATTGTTAATGTGCATGCTTATTCTGATGGTACCTTAAAGAATCTTGCAAAGTTCTGTTGGCAAGCACTGTTTTCTTGGCTGTGTTTTTGTTTAGAAAAATGGTTACTCACAGCTGAGTTTTGATATACGCAGCTTGTTTCCATAAAAAGGTGGAATGAATGACAAATGGATGTTCTCTGACTCCCAAAGGGATCAGAGTGACACTGCAACTTTACAGTTGTGATGGCATTGATTATTCTGTATGTACTCGTCTGTCTATAATACAATACAATAAAAGGGCAAGATGCATTATAGTATTTGGTGTGCTTTGTTACTGATTTGAAAAATGATAGTGCTTATGCTTTAATTAGGTGGAAAATCCACAGAGAAAAAGTGCTATTTTTGATATGAAAATAAAGAAATCTTGTATTTGGGCTAAATTTATGAACGTATTCTTATTTGTGGCAGTATAAAATTGAACTCAGTCTTACCTGAAATTAAAAGTACTGACATGATATTTGTGAGCTTTTTAAGGACCCTGTACTTGGTGATTGTGATAAAGCTCCTTATAGTTGCTGGATGGCATAAAGAAAAAAATTGAGCTAGATAGTTTTAATTTATTATTGCTCATGAGGTTAATTTAAATTCAGAACCACCTCGAGTCTCTACTTACTAGAAGAAACTGCATATTTTACAAAAGGATTTAATTGCAGGATACCTTCAAGCAGAAAGTCCATTTTCCCCCACAACACTTCCAGCACTGTTTTGCTGCGGATCCAAGACTGTTCTCACGACCTCTTGAAACCAAACGGTGCCTTCTTTTCTTTCCGTGCAGTGCTGCTGCAGGTAGCCCTGGGCACATGGTATTTGTACACAAGGTGGAGTGCAAGTGGTGGGCTTTAATGATGCACAGCCAAGTTCTCCCTTATAAGAGAAATATTAGCATAGTGCTAACTCTGTGTAGGCAAGATGATGGCTAAATCCTGGTGATGATTTCCATATCTCCAGAGCTTCTCATACCTGAGTTAATGCCTTCTTTGGGTGTAACTCTGTGTGTATAATAGGTTAGTAATTTTGAGCTGAGTCTCAGGACAACTCTCTGAAAACATGACTCTGGATTCCATTCTGAAAAATGGGAACACAATTTATCTTGCTTGTAATGAAGATTCCTGCTAGGTAACACCAGAGCTTTGTATTATTGCTAGCTGAATCTGCCTACTGTATGGACTGGTGTTCCCTGCCTGTATTTTTGTGTGGAATACTCTGAAAGACCCATGGAATACCTTCTCCAGAGGGAAATCTCATATTTAGAAATCAGTTATTTCTTTGTACCCAGAACTAGTTTGTAGGTAACTCCTTGGTGATCTAAGCATATACATTCCCTGTTTTCTAAGCAATAGTTCTAAAGTGTGTAGGTAGTTCCCATAAGAGTAGCCATGTGGTTTCTGTGCCCCCTCCTTCACCTGCCCCAGTCTGGTACCCAGAGACAAGATATCCTCCTGTAGCAATGAGACATGTGGAGGGGGCTGATGCTGAACGTTTGTTTGCTACCAGAAGACAGATCTCATCCTGATGAGACAAAGCACTTGCTGTGCTGAAAGATGCTAATATGAATTCCAGTTTAGTTCAAAGATAATTTAAAAGAAGAAGGTCTCTGAGGCTGTTATGCCTTTCCTGAGGCAGAGAAGCATAAAGAACGTTTTTTCTCTGGAACAGGCACAAGGCAGAAAGTTTGCCTTTGCCTCTCTTGGCAGACATGAAAGAGACCCCCTTGTCTAAAACAATGTTCTGCTTAGTCCTTCCCTGGCCAGGACTCCGGGAGTGAGAAAAGGGGAGCAAGTGTGGAGGGGAAAAGAGATACCTGCCTTCTGCAGCTTGGCTGAGTTCCTGGCAAGTCAGTGCTCCTGACTGAGAAACTGGAGCTGCAGCCTCCTCAGACTTTATATGCTGTGCATGGTAAGTGGAGGCTGCAATCATTTTGAATGAGGGCGGTGCTGCAAGACAAAGCCAGCACAGCAGTACCAGGAACAGGATTTGCAATGGGGAGCACAAGGGTGATATGTGCCCTGATGCAAAAGAAGGGATTCTTTTCCCCACTCTGTTCAAGCATGGCATGTGCATTTTCCAGGCTTTCCGGAACCTGCTTTTGAGAGCTGTGCAATAAAAAGCAGATGGAAGAAGTGGTTGTGGATAATCCCTGTGCTCCTCAGCTGGAGCTGTGCACTACATGGAAAGTCTCAGGGAGGCTTTGAGGTGTGCTTTTTCCCAAATAAAATATGGAAGAGATGGAACCGTGTTTTGCAAACTGGTACTTGAGGACTTGAAAATTAAGAGGAAACTAATTTGCAGGTGCTTTTGCTAGCCAAAGAGAAAGGCAGCACTCACTTGCACTTCTTGGCAACAAAAGTTAAATAGAGGTGGAAAACTAATATCAATTGCAAATATATATATGTATGTATATGTATAAAATATTTAGTCTCATTTTTGCTCCAGTAAACATTTTGAATAAATAATTTCTGACAAGGATGGATGAAGCAGGATGGGCCTGTCTGCTAAACTTCTGAAAAGACACTGTGATTTTCCAATTTCTGAATCTGGCTCTGCCTTGAACAGTCCCTGTGGCTCTGTTCAGAACATGCACTCATCATCTCTGTACCTCCTCACGGGCAAAGGAAGGAAAGAATTTTCCCCCACATGCTCATGATAATTTGTTGACTGATGAGAAGGATCTCACACTAGAAGGGCTTTTGGTCTAGCCCAGTACGGATGAGCTTATGTGCTTGTGTTATGCTCTCTATGTATATGACTAGAAGAGAAGTTGAAGTTAGTAACCTCCTTCCCCGAACTTCTGGGGGAAAAAATGAGAAACACAAGGAAGCTGTTAGAAAACCATTTTATCATTCTCATCATTCTTGAGGAGACTGCAGGACACAAAAACTTTACCAGAGCTTGCTTGCCTCAAACCTCTCTCACCTGCTCCATCCCTGAGCTGGGTGGCAAAGGGGGGGAAAACTGGATGCCTGAAACATGTAGTTCCAGTTGGCCATTGAGCTCAAAGGTGATGGAGAGGAAAAGCAAGAACAAAAGGACAAGTTGCAACACAGAGCAGCCATCCATGATGGAGCTTTACACAGCAAGGAACCCCAAGAATCCACTTGCTCTGTGTGTAAAAACACCCCTGTCCCTAGCAGAAAAAAAAAAAAAAAAGAATTAACACTGATGATGTTCGTTAGTGTCCATTATTAAAGCTTCAGTTCACTACATCCATCATTATGTTTTCCATGCAATAGATCTTTGCAGAAAAGTCTTCAGTAAATGACAGACCTGTTGTTCACCCTGGCTTGTTTGAATGAATTCTTTGAACTCTGTACGTTTTCATGCCAAAATCATTATCAGAGCTGATTTCTCAACACTGTGGCCCAAATCCTACCCTTATATGCCCACATGGGATTCTTCAATATCTCACTGGAAACCACAAGAGGTGACTTAGGCCTGTTTTGTACTAACAGTGTTTTGTTTACTCTCTGTGTGTCTAAAATATCTGCCTTTTGGATTTCCTACAGTTCCCTTATTGTACTGTAAAATGTTCTCCTGGGGAGAGCAAACCCCCTGTGCCCTATCCCTAGAAATACAGAACAGGGGACTGAGGACTAAAGAAATTTGATCCTATAAATTGTCTTTCTCAAGCTGATCACAAGTTGGCTTCAAGATTAAATGTTATCCATAGTTTAAGTACTGGCCATGTGAAATAAAAAACAGAAACCTAGCCTTTTTGTAGTGGTGCAGAAAGTATTTCATCATCTTAAAAGCATTAAGGTACTAAAGATAGATGGTGTCTGCAGCACCGATTGCTGAATATATCTGTTTTTTATAACTGTTGATACACCACCCTGCTTTTACTGGTCTGTACATTATTGATGGGGGCAGAATGATACTTCTCAAGCAGATGGATTTGCTTTATGTCAGATATCATTCCATATAAATAAATGGAAAGGGTGATGTAAAACTATGGATCTATACATTCTTTTTGTGAAGACATAATAATGATGTTATAAGAAGTCTATCTTATCTGATATTTAATTCCTTTTCTTTTTAACTGCTTAAGAAACTGTGCCTGTATCTCACTACTCAGGTGTGTGTGGGAGTTGAATGTATATCAGACTGTAAAGCACATAAAGCTCATCGGTAGCAGTTAAGTATAGTATAAGCCTGAAGAAGAATTTGGAAACCAGGAATTCTTGAGCTGTGATACAGCTTTGCCACTCAGGTGCTTTGGGGTTCAAGCCAGGCTTCCTTTGCCATCTCTGGCCTACAGATTCATCAATGGAGGAATACTCTTTTCATAAGAAGAATAGAGACCTCAGTCTCACTTGTGGATGTATCAAAAGCAAACATGTCATTTATATATGAAACTATCAAAATCCTCAAGTTACAATTGTTTAAGGTGAAATATATAGACATCATAGCTCTATATGATTTCTAGTGTCAAAGATACAAACAATTAGTGTCTGTCTAACTATTGCCTGTTTAGCTAACATTTAGATAATTTATACAGGAAATAGATGAGTGTTATACATTTAAGTAATTTTATAAAATCAATTCTTTTCCTACTTGGAAACTAATGAAAAAACTTTACTTCAAATACTGGTCCACATTTCTAATGCATCTTCCTGAGCTGTTTCTTACATTTTCTTTCCCCGAACAACCATGAGTAAGTTTCAATACCAAGATGTGCAACAGCAAGGAAATACCAAGGTTATTCTATGAATATTCACAAAGGAGGACATAAGGAGAAGGTTATAAATTTCTTTTGAGAGACTAGCTTTAATATGTGACTTGCAAGACACATTATAACATGACCTTCTGTAGCTAAACATGACCTTCAATATCTAAATAGACAGCTGTATATTGCCTGCAACAGCAAAGTACTCCATGCCCAATAATGCATTGAATAATTGTGATTTTGAATTTGAGAAATAATTCTGAAGAATGGATTGTAGGGACTCCAGAATGCCTCGCTGTTGTGCAAATAAAACAAACAAACAAACAAACAAATAAAAAACAATGAGAAGTTGCAAAATTTAAAACCTTCTCAATTTCAGATAATTAGCTGTTTCCTATACATACAGTTATATAACAGAAATAAACATTTTTATTGTGATGAAGTTTGAGTTAGTCTCATTTAAACATTTGTTGAGAGGATCTGAACCTGGAAGTAAATGGAGGCCCTCAGTGGATTTAATGAGTATGGGACCTTGTCCAGCTCTCTAAGAACAAGTGCAAATATACAACACTCGAGAAAAAAAATCGAACTAAA